AAATCTCAGGTACCTTTTACCTCAACGGAATCATAAAGGGTGTTTGACTACTAGTCCATCTGGTCAGATTGTGCAGTACAAATACATAACCAGCGTTCCCCTTAAGTTTACCCACAAAAACTGCCGATCTGATAACTCAAGTGAACCTCACATAGGAAAAAAAGGAAGATTCATTCTCATATGAATAAATTAAAGTTAACAGATTCCTCGAATGACTTCAAAAAGACAAGAACTCTCCTCCCAGTTTGTTTTACGTAGTATTCCATCGTCCGGTTTCTCCATGCGTTTTCTTTTCTTTTCTCTTTTCGGTATCGGCCTGACAAGAAAGTCCCAAACATTAATTTGATCAAAAAGTATCAACGTACTGAAAATCCTACTTCGTACATAATACTGGAAACTGATGTTAGAAGTATCCAGCTGGCTTGCCACGGCTTTCCCGTTTCTTGAACAGCCTAACAACCAACTCACCTCCCTACCAGTACCCTAAATGCTACCACATACGAAACCCCAAGCACAGTAACTGGTCTCCAGTTTCTGGTCCGTGACAAATGCAACCGAAATCTGGATAAACAATCGAACTCGACAGATCACTTTGCCTAACGGCGACACATCCGTAATAATGCCATGCAACAGATTTCTCTAGCACTTTGTCTCGTATCAATCCATCTAATAGAAGTTAATTAACAGCTGATGTATCTCCTTGACAATGTTGCATACTCTGATGTGAAGTCTATGAATTTTTACACATGTATAATATTCACCACTGTTGAACGACAATGCTCCCATTCTTTAATTACTTGCACCACAACAAATGTTTTCAGTACTACTAACCTGAGTTGCTGGAAAAGGTAACACTTGGAGAGTGAGAAATGCCTGGACTTAGACATTCACCTGCATTAAATGATTGTACGGATACTTGCTTATTCCTGAAATCATTGAGGTAAGTTATTATTGGTCAATAAATCTACAAACTTAAGAATCACTATCGAAATAGACAATTATCTGACGGAACACTGGGTCTTGCAGATGGGTCAATCATGTCGACTACTCACAACGCAAACACCAAATATTGCGCATTTTGATGTGAAGAAAGAATTGTGAGCAGGAGTGACTTAAACTCAGAACAATGTGTATGTACTGTAAAGTGATATTTTCCTGCTATTTTCATAACATTTAGACACTCGGTATCATGATAGAGTCCAATGTCCTCCCTCTGTAGCATTCAATACTGCTAAAACCTTTTGTGTTTCTCCGCAGTTATCAATTTGATGAGGCCTGTAGACTGGTTTCTCTCATGTTAATTTCACAACTTGAGAACAAAGATGTTTATTTATTTATTTATTTGTGTTACATCATGCGCGTAAAACGTCTGCGGGGGGTGTTCTGGTCAAAGTGGATGTAATTGGCCTAGGAGTGGGGATGGAATTCAGATGTGTTGGTCTTGGCAGTTTGTTTACGCCGCTAGCTGGTATACTGTCGAGGCCAACATTATCCGAAAGCCATTGCCATCTTGACATCTTAAAGGTGCCGATCTCAAGCAGAGCTGTCGCTCGACAGTTCTTGGATCCTGTGTACAGCCATGGTCATGTTTCTGTTTGGACTCCTGAATGGGGATTCCTCGCAGTGACCACGGTTAGTCAGGCCTGACGCAGATTTTGCAGGTATTGGCAGTGTCCGACTGGCGCGAGGGAAGAAAAGTATCTTTGGCTACTTTCGCTGTGTTCAAATATTCTGATGTGGGTGGTGGGCAGTACGAGGGTGCCCGACTACCATGAGAAAGAAGACAAAGTGTCCCGGGGAGAGGAGGGGTCTTAGTGCCTGGGAGTAGCCGGCACTGCCTGAAAATCACTTTCTTCTCTCTCGACCAACAATGAGTTTGTCGATGCATTGACGCTGAACAAGCTGATCTAGTTGGCTCTTCTGTCGCTTCCTTTAGTCACAGGTGACACGTCCAGTTTCCCGGTGGGTTTATGATACATTTTTGTGGTTGCTTCTTGATTACAGTGCCTAGGACGCTTAGGATGTGTTTCGTCGACGAACTGGCGTTCGCTAGGGCCAGGAAGAGGATACGAAAGCCCTACCTGGAGAGGTCTCCGTGCACCGTGGTATTTGCATAGCTACAGACCGCTTCGTTTTCGGATTCCTTTATATCACTCCTTGGTGTTGATCCTGAGTCGATCAAGGAGATCAGTGGCTTTTGTGCGGTGGAGTATAGCCCTATAGGGTACTTCCTGTGGAGTGCGAGGGGCTTCCTGCCTTCTAAACAGATATTTCTAGCGCGGCCATGGGTGCGCAACTCTGGAGAGTCTCACACTGGAAGGAAACAGGTACCCGGTCCTGTCAGGCTTCTAACATTTCTCTCACTGACGCCAACGCGTGATGTATACCAACACGAAATCAATAAATAAATCTCCACAAACCTCAAAACTGTGTTTGTGAGCTTGTAGTGCTGTAGTTTGAGGTTAACTGCCTGTGACCACCTTATTCCTACGCTCGCCAAGCCATTTCTCTCTTTCGGGGGTAGTCCGACACACCCATGGGTGGACTACTGCGTCGCATGATGAGGCTACTCGGCGTCGTCCATGTGGTAGCAGTAAGTATCCCCGAAACAGGGAGTGACCGCTTGCTCAAGGGACAGACATTCTGTCCAACTTTTAATTTTCCCCCGCCGTCCATCCCAGTATTTAACTCTAGTTTCAATTGCCATCTATAGATGGCACAAACTTATCGAATATTGACATATCTTCAGCTTCCTTTGTTCTCGACATTCGATATGCAATATATTCCAGTAGATTAAATGATCCACTACTGCCATGATACTTCTAACACTGAGTTATCATGCCCACCATAATTTTCACTACTGCTGTCTAAGGATGTCGCTTTTATTCAATATTTGCAACCAACAATGCCCAAACAACTGTTTAGTCCAGAAGACTGTGTGGCGCCCTGATTTGCTTCTTTCCAAGCTTTTCCAGTTTCAATAAGGAAAATAACACCTAGACGTTGACTTCAAAAGTGGTATGTTCGCATAACTCATTATTTTAAATTTATTGTTATTATTACCATAGATACGGTTTGGAGTGTTGTTCCGAGGGTCATTGTACCCTCACTCCTAGTGAAGGATCGCGTTATTCATATATATGCCTCAGATTTACTGTTTTGTACTGGCATGACAGTATCATAAAACTGCATTTGCCAGTGGTAGAGACCAAAAACTGATTGCAGTGGAAGGAGAGAATGTTCAAAAGAAAACAATTTACGTTGGCCCACCTTCAGATACTTGTCCTTTGCTCCTCAGCACTTGGTCAACGAATTTAATCGTGGGTCCCAGATGTGTACGTGGGGCCGAAAAAATGCTTCCTAGGTGATCCCCGAAAAGAACCAAAAGCTAAGGCAGTTGAATGGCTGAAACAACCAAAAATCCCTGGCAGGAGGTAGATTGGGGGTTAGAAGGAATAATAATGCTCTTTCTCTCCCGTCTAGAGGTATGTCCACTGCTATGTGGTGGTCGAGTACGTGCAACTAAAGGAGTGTTGCGAAGGCCTGATTCTGACAGATGCAATATTCTAAATCAGAGTTTCCTCGTGCGAAGAAATTCCAAGTTGGAGAGACGCAGACAGTTCACTCCACTATTTGAGGAGACGGTAATCCCCATCTGAAAGCTAGCTGCTGCTGTTTTCGGTACCACACACAATGGCAACTCCCGAGGATTACTCGACGGTTTGATGATTCCTAGCCCAAAAATTTAATTCGGTTGGTCGTTCACCATACTGAGCTTATCAGGGAGTTGATGGTGTGCATTGTATGCCACGGGTGAATTTGTGATTGTGACATGATGCATAAAATTGCTGGTTGCCCACAATAGTATATGTGCCAGATGTATCAACTCTGGGTATTTCTCCAGCACTATTTGACAGAGCAAGTCCACTGAGAGCTTATTTCTAACTATGGCTAAACTCGGACCTACGTAGGCGGTTGCCCAACTTGAGAACATTGTATTGTTATCTGTCAGTCGTCGTCAACAGGTATCTATGACTTGGTTGCAACGGCCCAACAGATCCAAGCCAATGGCAGGCATAGAAACATCAGCTGGAAAAAAATTCGGTAAATCAGTCAGTACAAACCTAAGGGTTAGGGAAACGTTTTCCAGAGGTTACGATCACTATGATATTGGTAGCTTGAAGATTAAAAGGCGGTCCAGGATGACTACTGTTCGTGGCCTCGGGTAGAGCATCAACTTCTAAGTCACTGCTGATGAGATAGTGAACTTTTATTGACACTTCAGAGACGTACAATGGATGTACCTTTTGCCCTACATCTAAGCCCTTAACACTTGTCGGTGGGGTAGTTTCTTCATTTTGTGCAGTCTTCTTCGAAAATGAATGACTTTCAGTCTCTCGCCTCCTCGCTACAGGTATTATGGAGCCAACACCAATTGGGGTTTTTGACTATAAGAGACTTGGACGTTAGATAACGATGCAAGTTGCTGAGATGGGGTAGAACACACTGCTGCCGTGTCGTATGTCGCAACCAAGAGGTACAGGTTGTCAGAAGCTACTTAGCAGAGTTGCATAGCGTTGTCATTTCTGCATCCTGAACCTTAGGTTTTTCACAGGCACAAAATACGCCAAAAACAGGTCTACTAGAAGTGTCACATATTTTACCGGCTAGGAATACCAGGTCATCGATGGCAACCAACTGAAGCATCATTAACACGGTTTGCACCGGCTGTTTCAAGGGAAACAGCTTAGTTCGTTTTCTGCTGCCCAAAAGTAAATCCTTACCAATAAAAGTGATCGTATAGTGCCTTTTCAGTGGAAAAAAAGGAAGTGGCACAGTCTTATGTCTCCTATTATATTTTTGTTTGACATATTCACCAGTGGAGGTAAAATATCTATTAATCAGCTGTTCTTTGTTTCTAGGTCACTTAGTTAGCCAATTAGGTCTCAGGGTCATTGATGCCTTTGTTTTTAAACCCGGTTCACAGACTTACCTGGTCTGTTCAGTACAAACGATGATGCTAACGACCCCACGAAACGTTGTAGGGATATTTGGGACTCCAGCTAATGATGTTTCGAACACATTACCCTCCTCTTCAAAGTGCTCTAAGAAAAACCGCCGTCTGAAGAAGCGGTTGGAAGCTTCTGGGGAAAACCTACGATTTGAGTCGGACCAGACAAGTCTTTCTAACTCCCACCACTCTGTTGACGGTGATGGTATATTAACCCAAAGTCTTCCGTCTCATCAGATGTATAACTTCTATCCACCTATAAACTCCTATGGTATTCGATATCAAGCAGTAAGTCCTTGAGAGTTTTCGTATATTTCCCTAGTTTTATCACCTTATTCAGGAGAAGTTATACTCTTCTTTGTCCCAAGAAAAGCTACTACATGTAAATAATGAGCATTTACTGGCTGTGAATTCAGTAAGTCATGATGTTTACATAATAATTCTCTTAGCAGTTGGATGATAAGGTAGATTCAGCCTTAAGAACGGAAACCCTGTCCAAACTTTGGTCATTGCATAGTGCATATTATTCTCTTTCTTCTGTCACATTCTGCAAGACAGTTTGTTTGATGGACTTACTGATTGCCAAAGTCAAGGTAGGTCCTATCAACTTTATTAGTGTAATCTGTTTTTAGGTTAAGCCTAAGTACGCAATGTGTGTGGCCGCTGCATGTTATTATATTACGTCCAAATTTGAAAGATCATCGGTAAGAAACCAAGTTAAATCGATATATGCATATATATTATTTAGCAATAGTTTGTTTTCTGTATATTACGCGGAATCTCCATCACTTAATGCTATTCTATCATACTGATAAACACTTGTAGGGTTGAGCCATATATCTCTTAGTATTTTATGCTATTGTTTAGTTGTATGTAGTTGTTCATGTGTGTATGTGTATGTATGAAAGAATGTCACTCATATACTTCACCATATTTTCGTTGTTGAAGTAAACTTTACCTGCCCATGTGCTGTCTTTAAAAGGAGTACGTATCTTGTTTGATATGTGAAGCAAAAGGCAACTTGCGCACTGAGTCGCTGTATCTGTACTTTCCTGTGCACTTCGGGAGCAGAACGATTTGTTATTATCAAGTTGTAATCCCATCTTTGTAGTTTTTCAGTTGTCGTTGGGTTCTCTGATGATAAAACCCTAAAGTCCATATTGTTTCCTGAGATAAATCTATGTCACCATATGAACTCCAACTAAAATTGGTGCGCTTCCAAGTATTTTTGATCCGCATTGGCTGACTAGGATCACCGCCATAAGCTACAACTAGTGCTCAGTTCGTGCACCTACTCAACTGTCCAGTTTTATGTTAGGATGCTGTAAAATAATGTTCATGTGACCAGTGAGTCAACACTACAGTCACCACTTCATCTTCGGGTTTACTAGTTATCGTTGTGGGAACTATGTGGTAAATTAATCTGTCTTTCCCTTCATAGCTGATTCACTTTTCGTACATTAGACAATATCGACATGTGATCTGGTATTACTGCGTAATGGTCCAAATTGTCACACCTCAAGTCAGCATATCAAATAAAGATTGAGTTTATGTGCTGTTTAACTACTGGCCTATTTGATATTTGCTGCTTATTCTTATGAACTGGTTCACTGTAATGAGTGTTTACTAGCCATAAGGCGATATACAAGGCAGTTATAGCCGTCAGGCTTAATGGTAACCTTTGTATTCAGTAAAAAATTGATATTGAGGCATTAAATGAATGACGTTCCCAGCAAATCGCATTATACATGTTTTTCTTAAGTACTTGTATGCTTAAATATATCCGCATACCTCCAGGTTTTAAGCGCAGGTTATATCTACCCATCCCTGAGAGTTCATTGAAGTGTTAACACTAGGGAAGTAATAGGCGAGTATGTTTAGTTGTTCACTTGTCATGCAACATATTTAGGAATTCAGGAATCAGGAGGATTGTCTACTAAGTTCGTTTGCTTTCGTCCCTATAGTTGGATAATAAATGACTCTATAATACCTCTTCTGAATTGCTTTGTATTGACGTAAATAGCATCTGAATGTTTCATGGTATTCATTATTGGGTTCTATTTCAATATGTCAATCTCTCGCTAGGAATTCACAGTTACTAGAGTTTATGGAGATGTAAGGTTTCGCAACTCCATTCCTCACTATTGGAAACACCATTACTAGTCGTCTCTTTGGGAACCGCCCCACTGCTTGTATATCCCAATTCAGTGGACAATATGGATTCACTCTCAAACACGAAATAACTTTTTACTGTTTTCCACTCAATTATTACAGGTGGAGCTGTTACCCACTGGTCTAAACACTGGACTTCCAGCTGATAGGTTGTGGGTTGGAACCCAGTTTCACATGCCGAAGTTTATGTAGTCACGTATTACCATTCGATGTAGCTCATTGCCTACTGCATGGACATACATAAGGTTAGATAGATTTCGATTTTGAACTTGATTATCCTAGCACGAAAGAACTTTAAGAAACACTCCCCAGTCAGTATTACATAATTGTTGGATCTTTGTTTCGCTGATGTGTTCAAATGCCATTAATCGGATCATGAGTTGAAACTCAATGCATTTGATTTAAATGGTTGTTAGCGTTCCTTGTCAACTGACTCCTAGCCCAGTACATCTGTATCAGTTTCTGTTTAGGAGTATTCCCGACAAAAGTGCTGCATTGCTGTACTATCTGAGTTTGTTTACCTGAGCCATTTTGGGCTCAAACGCTAACGTTTTTCAAGTCTCAGAATGCTAATGAGATTGATTAAGGGACAAAATGCAGCTAATTTTATTCCCAGCGGAAACGTTGCACTGTTGTCTTTTAAGGTATAAAATCAGTCTTTGATGGTAAGAACGGCCTGTCGGTTTCGCGATATCAATTTTTGTAAACGATTGTTTAGTGGAAAACCACTTTTGTTCTACAGTAACCAACAAGTCCTAGACACCTCGCACTCAAGCACTGAGTTCCAACAGTCCATAGTTTGTTACTCAAAATGGGTTTCAAAAAGTAGTTGACTTGTCTGTGACTTCCAAAGTTAATCAAAAATTTTGTTCCTAATACCTTGTAGTTGTTGGAAGGAGTTAGATGATCATAAATTTGCCACGTTCTGTTGCCTCTCAGGATTTCAATGCTGGTGATATAGTTAAGTAACTTAGCTAACCCAATGAAATTCAAATCAAATATCTCTCAAAAGCTGTATGTCCCAAGCATACATCCATCGGGTTCTGCAGCCACACTCATAGGTCTATATGACTTCCGACACTGATCTATTTCCCTCAAATATCTCAGGAAAAAGCAGCCTCCTATTGTGTGAGGTAACCGGCGTTAACTGCTAATATACCTGCAGTAGTCAGACAGACAGATAACATCAACATAGAACCTGCATTAATGCGTAACATTCCAAGTAGCTACACCTCGTATCAGCACATCAAGCAAGAATGCACTAAGGTGGAAAAAGAAATAAAGAAAGCAGTCAAAAGGGGTCGAAAGTCATCAAAAGATGGCAAGAAAGGATAAGAGAATAGAGGTCCAATATAACAACTAAGATAAAGATAATGCGTGGATCCATTTGCGCTACTGAGATCGATCCCAAGCCGTGTTGCCGAGCGTCTCCAACCACTCGTTTTTATCACGTCGACCCCAAGCGGGAAATCTACATTTCCCCACACAACTCAAACCAACATTCTAAGACTTCAAGGACTGATGCCATGTTTTAGTCTGGTCGCGTCTAACATTTTACAACCTGAACCTACTTCGGGTAACACTAAGCTACGAGGAAAATGGTGACTAAGCATACCTAAAATGCGCTCAACCACATCACCCACTATTGTAAGACAATCCCCCAGTGAAGATTGGTCCTTGAGCAACAGTTTGCATTTGAATGGTGAGAAACGCATACTAAACATTTTCAAATGGTCACTTAAGGTGTCCAGAAGACGCTGCATCTTTTTAACGTCTTCACCTGACAGGATTATGTTATCTGCATACCCCAGATCTACTCAGGATTATCCTGTAATAAGATCAATCCGTGTGAAGTCAGAAGAGAGGTGGACCTCCATACGCGTGTCCGTCATAAAGTTGAACAAGAATGAGGACAGTAGACATCCGTAACGGATACTACTTGACGTACACAATTCATGTGACAACTTACCATAGGCCCCCTGATATACCCCGTCGGTGTTTGAGTACGGAGCCGTCAACAGAGTAATTTGCTTACTCCTTTCAGTGAGAGACATTACCAAAAGACCTATCGGTCAACATAATCAAATGCTGCCTGTAAGTCGAGAAACACTAATGTCGTGCATCGATAAGTGTATCTGCCTTCTGGAACCTGACGGAGTGTGAATATCTAGTCGATGCACTCACTGCTGGGTCTAAAACCTGGTTTTCTCGGGTTCGCTGTTCCCATGCTCCACTTATGTGTCTGATAACTCAAGGATCTGCATTTGTGCTCATTGTTTTATCATATTAATTAGCTTGACGAGTATACCTTTGACAGGTAAACCCGATCTTGTTTAAACTAAACTCTATAACTCACTGTATTATACATAGAAATATAAAAGGTTACTCAGTTATAGGGTGTTTTATTTCCATTTTTGTCTCATTTCCTTCTATATAGGATCACATTTCACCTACACCCGAAAGCCTTGTAACATTATCGAGATGTGGAGGCACTGCTGCTGATTTAACTCGAATGGTGGAAATCATTCTTACGAAGTTGGGGCCTTCTAGTGTAGCTGCCGTCGGTGCATGTTCAGCCACAGCTATTGATTTTTTATCCATCTTCTCTCCGTTGGGTGTTCCATCATCTCAAACCGACTCGGAAAATCAAGACAGTTGGTTCCCCCTCCCTATTTCCCTCTGTCGTCAAGTTGAAATTGCCTTGATTTCGTCAGATGTATCAGGTTTTCGTCCTGCATGTCTTGCATTGGCTTTGCTCAATCACCGTTGCTTTGGTTCAAGTTTGAGTCCACTTGGGTCAGCTGATGACTGGTTACAGTTTCATGCAGCAGACCTCTTCAACTTAGCACTTTTATGCAACGTAAGTTATTCTTATGTTTTCGGATTCAACCTAAATCTCCCACTTTAACACCAAACACTAAGATGTACGTATTGGTGACCAGACTCTACAGTTCAACCGTCAAAGGACTCAGGTGAAGATTGTTTCGCAATTCATTAAAAGCTAGATGTTTGTGACTGCTTTAAGATTAAATCATCAAAAGCCCTTAATTACTCATTTCCACTACTTCATTGGTGTTCCTTTCTATTCTATTCTATTCCATATCAACTCATATTAGTTTAAGGTGCATGCTTAGACTCAGGTTATCGGAATTCTTGTAAATGCTTCTGCTGTAGCCAACAAAACTGATTACGATGATGTTTGATAGTAGTAAATGTTAAAGTCGCTCATTTATAGCTATATTGCATAATTGAATTTGTCTGAAACCCACCTGCAATTGCATTGATTCTGGCACTTCTTTTATGCTAGCATCTAGAAGTAGATTTCCTAAATTGAATCGATTTCTTTATAGGCATTGTTTACTTGCTGCTGATGACCTCAAAATGTCTGTCTTGTTAGTAAAATGCATACACACCTGAGCTGAATAGAAAACAGGTGAATGGGAAACCATTAATAACAATTAGTTTTATTGAGTCTAATATTTGAAATTTAATAATCTTTTGCCAGTATGTATGATTTTAAGTAATTTTTCTCACAGACGTTTATCATAAGTCAACTTATTAAATATACAAACAAGCGAACCATCCAAAAGTGTAAGTGTTTCATTTTAAAGAGCGAATTTGCATCGGTTTGATATGATCTAGGACTTTCTGAGTTCTTAGTCCTGAGACTAATCCACTTCAAATGCGTTTCAAGCATATAAAGCTAATCAGGGCTCTCTATTCGAAGTCACACAGGAATGTTAGGGCTCGTGGAAAGTTTTCATGTGAATTGATGACAGCTAGTGGTGTGCACTGTCACGGTTTGTGTTTAATCTCGTTACAAATACATTAATGAACATGACCTTAGGTAACTATAGCTTCAAAGGGATTGATTTACTCCTTGGAGGGCATTTATTTGACTTGGAGTATACAGGTGACACTGTCCTGCTAGGTGAAAATGTTGACAAGGCCTTTTGAATGCATGGAGTGCGTTTGGCATGCGTTTCGCTGGTACCTGTCAAGTAAAAAATAGTTCCCCAGGACACTGGTCGGCAAATACTAGTTCAGTGATGTTGAGTGAGGTGCTTGAATGTGTTGACAACTTCATTTGCTTGGGAAGTTGCATCAGCTTAAACGGGCTGGTTACTAACAAAATACCAGCTCAGATACAAAAGGCCCGTTTGGCATTTGGCAAGTTTTTTCATCTCTGGCGCCGACTGACAAGATATCCGACCATATGTTAAAGGATGGCTACACTGCACTGCAGTTCGTTTTGTCCTGTTATATGGTTGTAAGTTATGGTCACCTAAAGTAGATATGAAGAGACTAAAGGCTTTTGATTATGAGTGTCTTCGTAGGATTGCTTACAAATGGCGGAATCACCACATGAGAAATGTTGAGGTCAGGTGAAGAGTTCTGGGTAAGGAAGGCAAGCCAGTGGATGAGATTGTGAACCGTTATTGACCGAGGTGGCTTGGAAACGTGCTGTGCATGATGAGTCACCGCCTACCTTAAAGTGCCATGCTAGGGGAAGTTGGATCAGGTTGAGAGAAGGTTCAGATCGGCCAGAATAAGATGTGACACCAGTTCATGAAGTCCCCGACTGGTGGTCTGAACCATGTTGGGGACTGTAGACTGCCTGACTGGGGTTCCCGAGATGATAAGAATCAGTGTTTGAGAACTCTTAGTGAAATGGCTGAAAATTGATCACAATGGTGCAGATGTATTCATTCTCTGATTTCTTATAAAGCTTGAATACCTTGACTAGCCTTAATTTTTACACTTCCTCTCCTCCCATACGCCTTTGTCAACTTTAATATCAGTCTTTCATATCCACTTGTTTTTTGTATACTAACGTGAAGTGTGGCAACTTGAAGGAATGCACTTGTATGCGAGGTTCTACCTTTTTTTGTCTATCTGCCGTCTGTCTGTCACACGCATTTAAGCGAATCAGATCTGATTTATTAGTTCACTGGTTTACGCATTTTTAAACCAAAGAGTGCTGTGGTTAAAACATGCCCCACCTATTTCTGCCTGTGCAACTGGGTAGCATCCCAAGCACTCAGTGAATGTAGCTCATGCCACGGCATAAACACATATTCCGGGGTCAGGGTATTTGAAAAATTAATTTAATGCCCTACATATTTAAGATGTTTTTTAAAACGAGATAATATCTTTTGGCTAGAAGGCCAGGTGCTTATTTGAGGTGGATCAAATAGCACAATCTACGATGTTTTAACAGTAATGTTTTGCCTAGTACTAAGAACATAACCACGGTAGCTACGAAATGCACTGTGGAAACTTATTTTGGGCTTCTATATGCACTTTCAAATCTCAATGAATTTCTTTGAAGAATTTTCAAATATTTACATATTAACTGCATTAATTGGTTCAAAAACTTGTGTGCCTTTTAAGTGATGCATGTTTCATAGATCGGTAATTAACTCATTTCTAGAAATGTACATGTAGAAAAATCGAGTGGGATCAATTTGTTGAGATTGTTTTGGTGTTTGTCGCAAAGTCTTACACTATCCGTGATCAGTTTATGCCCAGCATATGTAATGAACTGTAATAAATTTGTCAATTATTCAAATCTCAGTGATCACATCTACCTATATTCCGTACTCGATATCACCTATTTTGTAAATCGTAACAGTGCTAATCCGTTGCTCAAAATGAAGTGTGGTTTCATCTCATGGTTGCTTGGTAAATCACCATGCACCGTAGTTATAGACCTGCTACTCTTGCACCACAAATTGTTACGCACATGAAACCATAAGATATTTTAGTCACTAGTTTCAACCACTCAAAAAGCCTATTCACCAATGTTCTGTTCATTTATTTTGTCTAGGTTTCTTGGGCTAATGTTGAGGCATGTTCATCTTTGTTGAAGGCAGCACTTAGCACTACATCAGAATCCTACACAATCCAAGATTATCCTTCCTCCCGTCTACTGGCAGCTCCCCACCACTTGTGTGGACTTTATCACGGCGTACACAACGCAGCATTTTGACATCTTCTCCCCCAGCTCTTTCAACCATCACAGAAAAAGATGAAGAGTTAGTTCAATTAGAGGATAATTTCGCAGATATGAATTTGGGTTTTGAGTGAGTTTCTCCATCCTTGATCGATTTATTATGTAGCATAGATTTAGTTTTTCTTTATGTTTTCTGTTATTCTGGATAATTCTGTGAAAACACTTCGTAAGCTAAATATCTTTATTTGTCTCACGTTGTCTGGACAGACGCAGAGATTAATCACTAATTATTTATACATGTCAGATACTCACAAGTTGGAGACAAAAAAAGAATACAATTTATTTGCTGGGTAGGAATCGTATATTTGTCGGATATCATTGGACCATAGGCTGTTGGTTTTAGACAATTATTTACCACTGCATATGCTCATCTTAGAGGTCTTAACACTAGTCTGAATCGTTGGATCATTATTTGACAGCACATTTCTTCAAAATCTGGTGTCAACAGATTAGCAGTGTCCCTAATTTTTAAATTGCAGGAGTGACTCAAAGCTCCTAAACAGTAAGTCATTCTCATGTTCAACCTGAGCTGCGAAGCTTCCCCGTCATCTCAGTGTCTGATGACTGTAGGTGGCTAGTGAAGTATGCTTGGTGGTTGTGTCATAAGGTGATACGATAAAATGGAAAATAAATAGCTTGCACAAAATTGTAGAAGTTTATTCTCCAGCTCATGTTTAAAATTAGGTTGACATTCGGTGTGTAATTCGCTTATGTCTCCAGCCGAGCCTTGTCTAGGGTGGGATTTTTCATTCTCGATTCAGATAACTTCACCAACACCGCAAAGCTGTTCTGCTGGCAATCATTCCAAATCTCTACTGAATAAAAACTACGTAGATGGATTACTGACACGCACTGAAAACAACAGATCCAGAAAAGTTAAGCACTCATTTCTACTCCATCTGAAAATATCTCTATCTGACTACATCTCGATATGAAAATGAACAATCAGTACTGATTTATCCACTAACTTGCTATTGGGTCGACAAGAGACAATGAACCAGTTCATTTGCCTTCACATTGACTCCTACAACCCAGTATTCCTAAACTCCCCACTGTAGTTCAGCCCTGATAGTGTTCATGAACATTTCTTTTCTCATACTCGTTCCATCTCTTTGAATGTTTTCATATAATGAAGGGAAACACACAGTCCTTACATATGGAATTTCATTCTCCGCTTTCTTTTGACTAAAGACACCCTCACTGAACTGAAATTACCAGAGTTTTGACCTGGTTGTGTTATTAGTTTGTCATGCATATTTGAGTTGGAGTGTGAAAACACTGGTTTAAACCTAACAATATACATGAACTCAAAGATTTCAACCGAGCGTGTCATGTTAATAGCCACTATGAAAATATATCTTCATGTTAAATAGGTCCATCAGATGGATTTAACTGGAATAAAAGGCTCATAGACTGTTACTCGGGACAGTTACTTGCTTTACTCTAAATCAAATGCTTGAATACTCAGAACAAAATCACTTGTCTATATTGTTGTAACATTACTTTCAATTTTTTGAACCCAGTTCACATAAGTTTGATGGACTATTCAGAAAATTTTGACTCAGACTTCGTTTATGTAAACAGGAAACCAGAACTCAAAATTGTCAATACTAAGGAAATTTGTTGTTCGATACATTTCTTACCTAAATAAGTTTTCTACGAATAATGTGACCAAACGAGTTAATTAAAAATAGCTGATGAAATATTGTAGCATACCACACGTTAGGACCGACTTACAGCCATTTCCAGATACCTCGACTTCGTTGAAATGAAGGTCAGTTCTACCTATCCCGCTACTTTATACGAGTTACATGTTCGATAAAAACGAAAACGTAAGGATACGTATTTTTACTATGGGGGATTGGTGGTATTAACAATCGTCAGAGAGAGAGAGATGTGTGTTGTGATGTACTCGATACTACTTCATTTATATCTGTCTTATGATGATTTATGATATCTTCCTCTTAAATAGCTTTCTGTTACTCTGTTTGTGCTGCGTTATCAGACCCCTAGTGTTTACTGGATGCTTCGATGCATTATGTTGCAGAATAAAAAGTAGCTGGTTGATTCAATAGTAATGTTGTGAACACTAGTCAAGTTTCTAGATTCTTTTATAAACGGTTCACTTACGTTTCATGTATATTTCACAATTGAGTCTAACTGTTACGAGGTATTTTTAACTGTCTTGCATTTTTTTTAAATTGCTTTCATTTCAGAAGTGTTTGTAAATCCAGTTCATGTTTAAAGGCAGCCTCATCTTGATAAAGTATCCTCTGTTGGCACTATTTCATCACTGTGAACGTTTATCTTCTTAATATAATAATATATTCACACTAACCAATCTGTGATTGGGAAACTCATCAAAAAAAATTTCTGTTTTCAAAGGGTTCAATTCTTATTGTCCTTTGTTATTGTTATTGTTGTTGTTGTTTCCCTCAACTTTCGTTTTTCCATCTTTCTATAGACTACAAAAAAAAAGTAGTTGTGTACAAATCTGAACAAAAATCGTAGTGTATTTCAGTTTAACTGATTTCATCATAATCAGTATGGAAAGCGGTATAACTTGTTTACTACTGCTGGTTTCTATCACGTACTTACTCTTTTTTTGATTGTTGTATTTTCCCTCTTCTACTCATTTCACAACAGTAATGATTAGTAAAAAGGGATTATTGTTTTAGGGATCACGTTTCGTTTTCTTGTTTTTCTTTGATTATATATACCAGCTGCCAAATTAGGCGAAGACGTTCTGCCTCTTCAATTTTCTCTTCTTTAGTAAAAAAAAAGCGAAACAAACATTGTGATTACTACTAATATATTACTACTGCTACTACTACTACTACTACTATGACTGTTGCTACTAGTCTAACAGCTGTTTTTTTTCATCGTTGTTTTTTTTCTGGTCACTTTTGACCTTTGACTTTTTTAAAGTAAATTTTAAGTAGTCGTTTTTTGTAAAACACGGCACATTACCACTTTCCTATCTCGTTCCTCTTTCTAGTCTAATATCTACAGTTCAATCATTAAGTTTATAAGAAAAAAAGTGCAATAAAAATATTTTGAATATAAACACTGTGGTGTTCATTGTTTTAGTGTGTTTATATGACAACTTGCTTAGCAGCTGAGCTTTTATCTTCAGTATTATCAGTCATCGTTTGTCAGGTGTAGTTTACAACTATTCGCCAATGGATAGCAGTTGATAGATGTCTGTGTGTGGTATCTGACTAACTGAATCTACTGGAACTGGGAGGGATCGTAAACTTTCTGATGCCTAATCATAATCTGCATCGACTGTAGCTTGGACGATACAACGGATGAGTTCTATCAAAAAACTCATTTTCGCTGCTTAAAGTTAAATGTTTAGAGATAGTCATAATGGCCGGTGACTTCAACGCCTATATGGGAAATTGAGTGAATCAGAAAGATATCTTGAGGGTATCTACTGAATCCTATGCCAAAGAACCAACACTAATTGTCGTCTCTTACAATTTTGTTGTGACAATCACTTGTTTCTGGCCAGCACTAACTCCAACCGTAAGGAGAGTTAGTGTCTCATAAGGCGTCCACCAACGTTGGACACGTAGATAATATTGCTAACAGCTATTATTGGAGAGGATTGTTGCTTTTTCTAGACCACCTGCATGAGATCCGAGCACGTGTGTTTCTACCCCTTAATGATCTAAGGGAATAGACCTGACTGGAACATGAAAAAGTCAACTATATATTCAGAGTGCCGATAGCTAAGCATGACCACAAGTAGTGGTGGGCAGGTGGTGAAAGAGATGGAGAAGGTACCATCATTAGTTAATACTTGACAGTTTCTTAAGCTTACTGAGGATAGTGGCAGGAAGAAGGCGATAGTAATTGAGACCGTCGTCGGAAAGGATGAATCTCTGGCAACCTCACTATAGGCAGTTGTAGTGTGAGGCAGAACAATTGAACTGGCCTTCAACCATACTTCAGTCACCAAGCATTTGGCTCGAACCTGAGTGAGACGCATATTTTAGTCGTCCAACTCTCCTCGAAGTTGTGATGGTTGCTTCAAACCTGAAACGATACGAAATAGCAAGACCTGGTGGTTTGTCCACAGAAGTCACTAAGGATGGTGGTAGAGAATCACAGTGGAGTGACAGGTTCTGATTAGTGCATAGGAAACAGATAGTCCCATCAGACTGATATAGGTGACTGACCATTCCAGTTTATAAGGAATGAGTGAAATCTTCCTGTGGCAACTACATGGGAATTAGTCCGACCAAGTATCTGGAGTCCGTAATCATATGACTCCTGGCCGGAGCTCGGGAAATTCAGACAGGTTTGAAACCTGCGTGGAGTTGTACCGATCAGATCTTCGAGATGTTTTTATACACATTCACACTTACTGGCACCCAAAACTTGTCATATTTCCCGGCTTGAAGACAGTGCTCAACTCTGTTGATCGGGACTTGTTGTGGCAGTGCCTGATAGTTAAGTGAGCACTGAGGAAAGGTGTATTGTTAGTCAGTGCTTTCTTCTCAAGGTCGTATGAAGCCTTACAGGGGTTTTTCACCTGAAGTGACGAAAACTATTTGTGTCTATTGGGATGTTGGATGTAACCGTTACTTTCTAACTTTTTTAAAGACGGGTTAAGGTAACTTCTGTTTTGCATGGACAAACTTACCTTGGGGAGGGTATCTGGTTAACTTGCAGCACACAAGCGATACGGTCCTGTTGGGCAAAGACCCTGACGAAATGCAATTTTCTGAGTACCTTGAGCAAATACCTCAGTATGTTCGGCCTGCTTTCTGCACCTAACAAATTTAAGATGATGCTCCAAAACTGAGCTGCAGCTATTACCAGTTTAAGGATGGGAAAGGAAATGGTTGGATTGGTTTGCTTAAGTTTATACTAATTACTTACTGACAAAGTTTTAGCATTTGCGAACATGCACCATTCCTGACACTAGTGAGATACCTGAATATCTATTCAAGGACAAGTATACTGTCCAACAGTCCGCTCTGTTCCATTATTATGACTGTCAGACATAGCTGTCGAACGTAAATATGAATGTATTACGATTTCTAGGCAACGTGTGTCTGACCAATGTTTCTCATGTATGCTGCAAACACCGTGTGCTTAATGTCGAGATCATAAGAAAGTGTAATGCAAATAACACGTGTCAGACAGAATCAACGTAGAACTTCGCACACGAATGTATCGGGCCAAGTTGCCACACTTCACAGTAGTATACAAAGACAGGTGTCTAGAATAAGAGTGATATCAATGTAGAAAATTTTGTCCGACAGAATAAACAATCTGAAGATAGAAGTTAGGTCGAATATTCAGGCTTTAGAAGACGTCAAAGAGTGAATACATCCGCGCTATTACGACCGATTTTCAGCCCTGTCATCAGGAGTCCAACTGCTGGTTTCTGTCTCCTCGGGGAGTCCGACCAGTTAGTCTACATCTCCCTACATGGCTCAGACCAACAGTCAGGGACTTCATTGACTGGTGCCAGGGCTTTTGCCACCCTGAACCCTCTTCTAACCTAATTAAACTTCCCCTTGCAAGGCACATCGAGGTACGCGGTGACTGGGAATGCGCAATACACGTCAAAGCCACTTCAGCTGATGAAGGTTCACAACCCTTCGTCTGACTTCAATATTCCTCAAACGGTGATTCCACCAAATGCGAGCAATGCTGCGAAGACACCCGTCATAAAAACCGGTGCATGTCTTCTACTTTCAAAAGCTATTTGTGGCAAGCATATAACAGGACAGAACGGACTGCACATGGAGTTTACTCTTCCTTTGATAGACGGTCGGATATCTCGCCAGTTGACCCCACAGATGACGCATGTTGGCAAATGCCAAACTGGCCTTCTGTATTCGAGCTGAGATTGCGTCAGCAACCAGCCCGTTCGGGCTGATGCAACTCCCCAAGTAAGTGATGTGGTCGACACATTCCACCACTGCGCTCACTATCATTAAAGTGAGAGGATTTGCAGCAGACCAGTCCTGGAGCATCATCTTACATTTAACAGCCTGCCAAGCAAGCTCAGACTTCTGCTCAGCAAGTTCAGAATGTCGTGCATTTTGTTAGCGTTTTCACCTACCGGGCAAATGTCGTCTGCACACTCCAAGTCAACCAGATGACCTCCAGGGAGTAGATCAGTCCCTGTGAGGTCACACTTACTACGGTTATGTCTATTAGTACGTCTATAACGAAGTTAAATAGGAACGGTGACAGTCGGTGTCCCTGTAGGATACTAGTAGTTGTCGCCAGTCCACATGTTAATTCTCCATAAGCCTTTAAGTGACTGCGTGAGTTTGAGAAGAGAGCTTTGATCAGCCTTATATACTTCCTCGGAACTCTCTTCACAGTTAGACACTGCCACAACAACTCACGGTCACCAGAGTTGAATACCGCCTTCAGCTCATCAAATATGGCAAGTGTTGGCCACTGGCTGGTAAGTTCCAGAACTTATCGGAGGATGGAAATATGATCGATGCATCCTCATGCAGGTCAGAAACCTGCTGGTTTTCTCTAATTTGCTGTTCTTGAGTTCCAGTTAGGTGTCGAATGACTATGGACTTTAGGGTCTTGAAGGCAATATCAATCAAACTAATTCCACTATGGCTGTCAGAAGAAGACTTATCTCCCTTCTTATAGACTGGAATGATCAGTGAAGTAGACCAGTCTGACATCACAACCTGTGGTTTCCATACACTGTCTAGCACTTCCATTACTCTAATCAATAATTTCCTACGTCCATCCTTGAAAACTCCACGTAGCAAACTGTCAGGTCCTACTGTTTCCCATCATCTCAGGTTCCATACAACCTTCTCAACTTCGAGGAGAATCGGAGGACCGACATATACATCCCATTCAGGTTCACGCTAGATGTTGGGCAAGTGAAGCGTCACTGCGGCCCAGTTGAACTGTGCTTGAATATGTTCCCACGTTCTAGCCCTCTGTCCTACAATGTTATCCACATTCCATCGTTTTCGGTGATGGTTTCACTAACCATCATCTTCTTCTTCCCGATATCCTTAATAAGCCTAAATAGTTGCCAGCTGTTACCCAACGATGATGCCTTCTCCATCTCTCTCGCTTGTCTTCGCCACCCACCACTGCTCACGATTATCGTGAAGACTCTTGGTTAATTTGCGTTTAAGTTGCTTTCGCTCTTCATCGTCATCACAGCCAGCTGGAGTCAGTCTTCATGCATTAACCAGTTCTTCAGATAACGTCGTAGAAATCCAATGGATTCGGCTAACCTTCATACATAAATAACCAATTGTCTCAATCATTGTTTCTACAGCAGACCTAGTATGGCACCAGATTTCCTTAGGATGAGCATTGCTGTCACGTTTAGATAAATGCTTAGCTAACTCCTCTCCTCTCTAAGTACGTATCTGACACGGACTTTAATATCACCTGTTTTCTGTGGCCACTAAGGTACAGATATGCATGAACCCATACTATCAAGTGAACGGGTCCAAACTGGTACTTCACAAAGAGCGGCAATCCTCCACCGGTAGCTTATGGCAATGTGAATTATCTGTGTCCATCGTTGGTTTGTAGTCAGCGGACGCTATCTGAGACAATGTCTCTCCCTATGCATAAAGTTAGTGCTGGCCAGAAACAAGTGATTGTCGGAACGAAATTGCAACAGACAACTACCGTCGTCGGTTCGCTGACAAGGGATTCCACAAATACCCCAAGATGCCTCTCCGATTACCTCAGCTTCCCTACTTCAGCATTGACTTCGCCTGTCATCATGATTACATCTACACGTTTTGGTTTCTGTAGCAAATTTGATAGCTTCTTATGGAATTCATTCTTTGCATCATCCGAACTGCATACGGTGGGCATGTAGGCTGAGATTACGAATAGACATCGCCTAGTCTCAAGATCCTTCCCAGTTCTAATAGATTCATTCAGTCGAACAGCACATAAACGTCTGCTCACTGGCATCCAATCGAGAATCCCACTCTCTGCCATACACCTCAATGCTATGTCTACACCAGCGAGTCCACCAGAGCTAGCCAATGTGTCTCCGGATAATTGTAGGGTGTATTCTGAAG